CCCCTTCCCCGCTCCCCCCCGTTGTAGTATCACGTCCAACCAGATGATGACACGTGCACAGCCACGAGATGACAACGTGGATGCTTACATGGATGAGGAGGTGTATGAGAGGTGGAGGAAGGAATGTCCCCAGTGCATTGCATCTACCCCTCTTCTGAGCGCGCTTTTCTGTCACGATTTATTTTTTTTCTTTTTTCTTTTTCGTTAAGGTAGAGCACAGACACATGATGCTAAAATGGATTATTATGACGATTCCTTGGTTTTTCCCAAAAAAAAAAAAAAAAAAAAAAGAAGGATTATGACGTGGATATATCCGACTGTCGTACGACCAGAAACCCGAAGATATATACCAATATAAGTACATACAGTAAAAGGCAAAACAGAAAGAAAGTTCAAGAAACGAAAGGAAAAAAAAAAAAAAATCATATATAAAGCTTAGTCGTAGAAGTAATAGGAGGTAGAAGAGGAGGGAATAGAAAGAGAGGGAGGAGGACACTCACCTGAGAAGAGCGACTGCTCGTCCACGTCAGCGGTTGCGACAGTCGGCTTATTCATGATGAACGTTTGCGCTATTTCCATCTCGATTAAATCCACTTGTCGTTTTCCCTGCGCGCCGCCTTGTCCTTTTCCCTGCCCTTCACCTGACTGCAATCGTCGGGCCGCCAGCCGCCGCTTCGCGAGGACGAAGATCGCCGCCAGTGTCGTCGCACACATAAACACGAATCTCATCCTGCCTCCACCATCCACCTCTCTCTCTCTCTCTCTCTCTCTCTCTCTCTCTCTCTCTCTCTCTCTCTCTCTCTCTCTATCTATCTATCTCTGTGTCTGTGTGTGTGTGTGTATCGGAGTGATGCGAGTGTCGCGGACAGAATGCCTTTTCGAAAATGTAAGCGGGATTTTTAACCAAAAAAAAAAAAGAAAAAAAAAAGCGAATTTTCGAACCGTTTGTTTTTTAAATGAAAAATTTTCGCTTAAAAAAAAAAAAAAAAAGAGTCGTTTATACCTCCTTGTTCTTTTGCTTTATACTGCTGGTAGTTACTTCAATTATAGCGTAAAGAAAGAACTACTGGTACTTCGTCTCCGACCTGATTGTCAATTGTGGTTAGCAGAGCTGGCACCAGGCTGATCATTCTTAAAAAAAAAAAAAAAAAAGAACTACCCCTTTTTTTTTCTTTTTTTTTTTAAAGGTGGAGAACTACTTAGTCACTCATTTAGAGTCGTTTCCTTCGCGTTACATTCCTTTTCATCATTTTTTTTATTATAATACTTTTTTCCCGGTGATCTCTTCATAATTTTTGTTCCCTTTTTCTCGGGTTCTTCACATGATTTTGCTATCGTAATTTCCCCCTCCCTTGAATATTAATCACGCCCTTCGGCCTACCTTTATCCAGATCCCGACCGTTAGCCGCCGACTGGTCGGCTGGCTCGCTGGCTCAGCGTGACGATCGATCATCCTGCGCAACCACCACCACCATCACCACTAACCCTCTCTCTCTCTCTCTCTCTCTCTCTCTCTCTCTCTCTCTCTCTCTCTCTCTCTCTCTCTC